CCATAGTAACTGTATGAATTTTGACATTAATAATTTCTTGCATAGTGGAAAAAAATGTTTCTTTGTCTAATGAGTTTAATCCAAAACCCTCTTTAAAGAATTAGAAAACACAACAGTCTGCTACTCTGTCTTCTTACAGAAGCAATGGAACGATTACGATTGTTTGGAAGCTTGCTTATGTCTTCTCTTTGCCAGAGGCAAAGTTTTTGAGCTTGATGGTGTATCTGGGCTGGAAGACTAATCTTAGGAAATATTAACTTGGTCAAATGCTGTGCCAGAATGTTAAATGTTTTTTATCTGGGTTAAATAGATAGATCCCAGTTGCTTCATATCTGGATTTTATGTTGGAAGGGGTATTTTAATATTTACACCAGCATATTGTCCCATGATGGTGTAATTATTATTCTGAATCTTTGTTTTGTTAGAACCTTCTCTTTGTACAGGAACCAAAAATTCTGAAGCTCCTGATCCGCAATTTGTGCGTGATATTACTTGGAAGGCAAAACAGAGTGATGTCGTGTTTATCAACAACGTTTGCAATATTGTAACCCAAGTGGCTGGACTCTTTAAAGAAGAATTGTTATCAGGACTTGGAAACCTGACTTTTACTAAATGCTGTACCCATTTTACGAACGTTTTTCAACATTTCACGAACGTTTTTGCTGCCTTTTTGAAACATTTCTACCAAACAGCCTGAAGGGTAAATTATCTTGCCTCTCCGGTGTCAATCTCTAATCTGTTTATTAATATTTTGAAGTAAAATTTAAATGTCGCATTGTAACTGCTTTTACTTTCGTTTTGAGAGCATAATATAAGATTGTATTAAGTTTCCGTAACGGTGAAACCTTTATTATCCTTATTAATTATTTCGGTAAACATTTATTTTAAATTTTACGGAATTAAAATCCTATTCTTCAAAGCCGACGACAGCGGGGCGACGACAGCGGGGTTATTGAGGGAGGGCCGGGAGGGCGACACGTACCATCCCACTTTTTTTCTAAAGGACGTTGTTTTTTTTAAGAAAATTTTAGAGATAGAAGACTTTTTTTAAAAATTGACGATTGTGCCCTCCCCCTTCCCCCCCCCCCCCCTCCAACTTCGAAACCCGTGTCGTCGGTCCTACTCTTGGCTCGTGTTATTCTTTTTTGTTTTAGGGGTTTTTAAATACCGCACAAAACCATGCGTAAACTTTTACGGAATTGTGAATAGGGAACAAAAAAAATAATTTAAACTAATTGTAATATGTAACATTATGTAATGTAATATAAATTCTTTTAAAAATTAAACTCCTTTTAATGTTCATGATAAAAATAAATGTTGCCTAACAATTATTTTCACCTTTTATTTATTTACCAAAAAATATTTTAACATTTTCTTAGAGTTTTCTTTGCAATTTATCGACTTTATTGGCCAGTCAATGCTATACCAAGATAACGTATTTTAATTTCGGCTATTTGATAATCATTAAACTTTTAGTAGTATCGGTTGATCAAAAATATTAAAACAATTAAAATAGTAAATTGTTTCCTACGGTAGGAAACAATTCATTATTTTAGTTTTTAGTAATTATTTCAGTTTTTTATTTAGTTTTTAGTAATACCTCAATAAATATTTAGGCATATAAAACTAATAATTTTTTTATATCCGTGAATCGGTCCCTTGGACATTATTGCTTGAAAAAATGATAATATATTTGACGGTTATTTGAATACTATTGCAAAATAATATTACCTAACTAAAAAAGATTTTTTATTATGAAGCCGGTGATTTATAACTCTGTGCCATTTATTAACTAAGATTATTCCACCATGCATTAAATTATAAAAATAAAAAATAAAAAACTATGCGGCATATTCGTGAAAAAAATGGTCAACAATAAAATATATTGATAAAAGATTGAAAGCGTATAAAAAAAAAGAAAAGTTTTATTAACAAAATATTATTAAAACAAAGAGGAGAATTTCTTAAGAAAGTAATTTTGAAAGCTTCGATAAAGTTATTGCTTTGTTTAAAAACTTTAAACTTAAAAGTTATTCAATATTTTTCTAGTATGAAAACAAAAATTTGAGTGACTTTAAACCACCTTTTAAATTTTTAACTTAGAGTTTAAACAATTATTATATTTAGTATGATTATTAGCTTTTTTTTATAGGTTAAGCATAAATTATTTTACTTAAAATTAAAAAAAAATTAACAAAACTACCATAAAAGCATTATAACAATTTTGTTTTATATAAATTAGCTTAATGTAACTTAATTTAGGAATAAATAATCCACAAAAGTACACGTTTTTGTGAACAGAATTTATTGTTTTGGAAAAAAATTAAAAAATATGTTATTGTTTCATTCAAGATCTAACACTTACCTGTGTATCATATCATTATATCTTTCTATTTTATCATCATATTTGTATGAAATACAAAGACACAGGTATTTTTGCATGAAATACAACTATCACAATCAACTCACTTGTGTATGCGTGTGCGTGCGTGCGTGCGTGTGTGTGTGTGTGTGTATGTACTTTAATGTTGGCATAAAACTATATCTGATGTCTTTTGATTTAATTTGTTTATTTGTAAAATATTATCTTTTCAAAGAACTATTTGACAACTTTATGATGTAATAAATTTAATGATGCAATGAATAAATAGTCGATAGTAAAAAAAATAATTTTATAAATGAAACTTCTAAGAAAGATTTGACACATAAAATCTTGCACCTTATGATGCATCAACGACCATTAAAATCATGTGATCCATTTTTATGCAAGCAAAAATGATGTCTTCGGAATTTATCTAAATGAAAATCTGTGCCTTTGGAGTTTATCCAAATGAACTGGTGCATTCAGTTTTATTTTTACAAGCTAAATAAACAATTCCTTGTTTTATTTTATTATTAATTTTTTATTAGGAGTTTAATGAATGAGATTTTGAGTGTTCGTATTTCAAATGTACGTAATTTTTAATCAGATAGCTTTCAGAATAAATGTGATTTTTTTACTAATTAGTTCAAAAGATGTTTTTTATTTTTACTCAAAATTAAAATAAAACCGAAATTTTTATTATGAAATGCAAGTATTTAATTCAAAATTGAAAAAAATAATTGAGAAGCAAAAAATATATAAAAAACTACAAAGAAAAATAGTAATTGTAAGTTTGTGTTGAACATAGATAAACAATAAAATAAATAATATGATAAAATTTAACCATATTAAAAATAACTGTAAAAAAAAAGCAACAACAAATAACCTGTAGAGTGATTAGAAATAGCATTAGAAAAAATTTATAATTTTTGATAAGTTTATGTTTTTCAAATTATCCAGAAAAACTTAAAATTCTTTCCCACTAAAAATAGAATTAATCGTAAAAAAGATAGACAAAAAAAACAGTAAACTATATTGGTAAAGAATTTTATTTAAAAAAGTAAAACTGTAAAATGTTTTAAATATATGAAGTTTAAATTAGTTTCGTAATCAGAAACATTTATTTTCATAGAAAACCGGAAAATCAATTTTGAAGTAAAACCAGTAGATAAAGTTTAACATTTAAAATTTTGAATCATTTAAAATAATTCAAAAATGAAAGATAATAATAGAATCATGACAAATGTATTTTAATACAAACTTAACGATAACAAATAATAACGATGCTGAATATAAAAATAATGATAATTAAATACTTTAGGCTTCATGATATTATTCTCATATCGTAAGTAAATTTTGTGATATCTCTGTCATTAGGTCTTGTAAAACAAATTTATTCTCAAAGCGTTTTGAAAAAATTTGTTTTTTACTAAGCATTCCTTAAATTATTGTTTCTTATTAAAAAGATTAGATTTTTTAAATGAAGTTTTTTGATTATTTCTTTGATGATTAAGATTTTAAACACTATGCAGATCTTAGTAAATAATTTGTTGATAAATATTGATAAATATTGCTTTCAAAAATTCAGCACAATAACTAATGGATTTTGCTTTTATAAAAGCAAAACTCATGGCTCATTTGGTCTTCTTGAGGTACCTAAAGTAGCAAAAAAACAAAACAAACTACAAAACAAAATTGTGAAAAATGATGTTTTGATAAACAGATGTTACTTTGTAATATAGATTATTTAATAAAGAAAATTATGAAAATAAATTAAAAGTATTATGAAGTAATAATAAAACATAATTTTAAGTTGTTTCAAAAAAAATAATCATAAATAGAAGCAGTTGACGTAAAATATTTTTTTCTAAATCAAAAAGTATATATACAGATCGATTCTACGAATCACAGAAGTCAGTTGACTTTTTAATTGTAATAAATAAATAAAAAAGATGCACTAAACTACTCCCAGTTGTTGCCTTAAATCGTATAATTATTAAAAATAGCATTCTTAAAAAGAATTCGAGTGCAAAAACCTCGTTTTGAAACTTTTAGCAACTATTTAAAACTTACTGCAATCCTATTCATTTTGAAATAAACTTTTCAATTTTTAGTAAGTAAATATTAGTATGTAATACTTGAGAATCAATATATATATATATATATATATATATATATATATATATATATATATATATATATATATATATATATATATATATATATATTAAGTTTGTTTTTTTAACTAACAGTTATATTTCCTTTACTTGTTATATTTCTTTTACTTGTTATTGTTCATATATTTTTATTTAAAAAAAATTAAAAAAAAGAATAAAAAATTAAATAAGTTAGAATAAAAAAAAACTTTTTTGTGTTTTTTAGTTTTAGGTGTCTTTAGTGGAATTTATTTTTTCTTTGTTCCATACATAAAGTTTATTTGAAGAAACAATCAGTAAAAAAAGTTTACTTTACAGCAGGATAAGGTTATTTTTACAAAAAAAGAACTGCTTATCTACCAATAGCATTTTCCAAATCGCTAATCCACCAATAGTATTTTTTAAATTGCTTGTTAATGATACATTTGAAAACATCAACAGTGTCATATTTCTTAACTTTAGTAATATTTTTATGAAAAAATAGTTTTTTTGAAACCATTTTTGCGTAGTTGATAAAAAATTCTGTTTGAAAAAATAATTGAAAATCGCAACAATTTTGCAAAAAAGATGTTTCGCCAGTATTAGTTACAGAACAGTATTTTACACAGGTTTTTTACAGGTAAAAAATTGTTTTAACGTTTCCGATTCTTTAAGTCCAATTCAATACGAACAGAGAGGATTTATTGCAAGTAGCTTCATTGTCCTTAACAGATTACAAGGTAAACCTATGTGTGAAACATGACACATGATTTATTTTAAATACTTCTTAGAATAACAAATACTTTTTACCTATTTATTTACACAGATTCCCCCCAAAAAGTTATGCGCTGGCTTTTTTGTTTTGTTTTTGTTGTGGAGTGGAGCGTTGGTCGCTGTAGGTTTTTTTCCTAATATTTTCTTGTTTATTTCTAAATCTTTTTTACTATTCATTAAGTCTAATGTATTTATAAGTTTTTTTTTTATTTTTTACTTTTTAATAAAAGTAAAAAAATTTTAAGTATTTCCATCAAAAATTTTCACGCTCTGCATTGCGCAATTTATTCAATTATGTGTTAGGTAGCACTGGAGAATGTCCGTTTTTCCCAAACGCACCACAGCGTGATAAAAGTTGTTACGAAACACCTAACTGCAATATTGATTCTCAATGCAAGAACAACGAAAAATGTTGTGAAAATCCCTGTGGCATAACGCAATGCTTTAGTGTTGATTCGAAAAAAGATTTAGGTACCAGCAAATTAATTTTAAAATTTTTATGAAACTTTTTTTTCTTTTTCTTTTTAGACTTTTTAGAGCTTATTATTTATAATTCTTTTGTTTAGACTAAAGAAACAGTTTTAAATTCTTTAAAACTGTTTCTTTAGTCTTTAGTATGTTTTACGAACAAATTATTTTCACTTACAAATACTTTATTAACTACGAATTTTAAGGAAACAAATTTAAGAAATTTTGTCCAATAATAAGTTAAGGAAACAAATTTAAGAAATTTCGTCCAATAACAAATTTGTAAATATCAATTTTTAAAAACATATAATACCCATTCGGCACAATTCCGAAAAATATTAGGCATGGTCTCTGTTGCGAATTTAAAACCCCATAAAACAAAAAGAATCTAGCGTTTAAAAGACTTTTTTTTACCTAGGTTCAAAAAAAAGGAAAGATGAAAATGCGCATTAGATATATATCTGCTGGGTACCATCGTATCAGATACATGTCTATTGGGTACCATCGGTTGTTACAATTTTTTTTTTAATTTTTCATTATTTCAAAAAGTTTTTGAGTAAAATGATTGTTATCTTTTTGTTATCTTTTTTTTTGTGTCAATATAATAATGAAATAAAATATAATAACATTAAATAACATAAAACTAATAACATTAATAAAAGTTATTAAAGTTACTTGACAAATGTGAAGGAAAATGTCTACTAAGGATATGTTGAGCATCATACTTTATTTGAACTATTTTTAAATTTCAAAATTTTTAAATAATTGAAATAAAGTATGATGTTCAACAGGGCTCGATTAAAACGGTTAAAAAGGTTCTAAGACTAATTTTGCTATTAGTTTATGTAAATGATCTGAATAAAGTAATAAATAAATCTTTAAACGTTATGTGTATCATGTTTGCAGACATGTATTAAAAATAAAGCTTCAAACGTATTAATATATCATGTTTGCGGACATGAACTGTATTTAAAATATCTTGTTTGTGGACATGTATTGTATTCAGAATATCAATGTTTGCGGACAATACGGATTTTTTTCTTGCAAACAATCGCACCAATAGAGTTTTTTTCAAATATAAATAAAAAGTGCTTAAATCCAATAAGTTAACATTGACAAAACAAAATAAATCCTGATTTACTTCATTATAACGAAGCACTTTTTATTAAATAATTCATCAAAACTTTTCATTAGTAAAATTGAAATAAGAAAGCAGTTGAATACTAAACCAAATATAGATTAAACAGTTCTTTGAGAATTGAACATATAACTAGAATAATTTAATGATTCGATTTTTACACGAAACTATGACTAGCATTTAATATAAAATTTGCGTTCAAGACATGTACCGGAACAAATCTGCACGTGTTCTGATGTGGGTTTTACGGAAACCGTGCATTATTTTAAATAGCTGATTGTTTTAAAATGTCATTATGTAGGTGGTATACAAAAATTAACAACTCTGTTATCAAAGCATTTAGTTTTAATTGAAATGTCATTGAATCAAAATAAGAAACGAGAAAATTTTTTGCACTATTTTGTTGAGAAACCTGGTGTATCAAACAAAACGATTTTCAAAGAGTTGCAAATTGCTTTGAGTGCAGAGCGTTTTCAATAGATTTAACGACACTTGTACGATAGATTTAACAACACTTTTTACAACCGAAAGGAAATCAAGAAGAGAAAGGAAAAAGGTTTTTGTTTTACAAGATCTTGTTAAAAAAAATTTCCACAAGCGCTTCCACTATACAAAGAGTGAAGAGAAATTTTAGCTATAAATCTTTTTAAAAAAAAATGTTCCTTGTCTCAAAGAAAAGCAAGAAAATCTTTCAATTTGTTTTTCAAAGCTGGTCTAAAATTATGTGATAAATTTTTTTTTTTTGATGATGAAACTTATTGTAATGCATAATTCCAATCACTTTCAGGATACCAATTAATTAGCAATTAATCTCAAGAAACTAATTTTTAAAATTAATTGTAAAAATTCAAATGGAAAAGTTTGCTGAAAGATTCTTACTTTGACAAGCACTTTATGTGAAAAAATTTTTTGTTACTATGGGAACAATGAACACTGAAATATACATCAAAGATGCCTCAAGAAGCGTCTTTTACCGTTTTTAAGATCTCATATGGGTAATCCGTTATTATTGCTCAATTCAGCATCATGTCACTACTCTTCGACAACTTAAACTGGCTTAGAGTACATTTCACGTAGATTTCATCGAAAAACATTGAAGTACACTAAATCGTCCCGAATTTCATCATATCGAAAGATATTGTCAAAGAAAAACAAATGATCAATATAAAAGAAGCTAAAATCATCCGCTCAAAATGTTTTTAGTTGCATACTTACGATCTAGAGCTATCGATATATCGTAATAATATGGTTAGCTTTAAAGTTACAATACGTAGTCATCAAGGCTGCGATATCTAAATAGCAACATGTCATAATAAAATCGCGATTTTACAATTTCACTTATTATCACAAATATTAGATCCAATACTAAAAATCTTTTTTTTTTTGATGTAAAATATAAAGTGAAACAATTTTAGAAAAAAAAATTGCTTAATAATTGCTATTACGTTAGCTATTTGACCAATCGCCTGTAAGACATGTAAGTAAAACTGCAATGAACTTGAAGATAAACTATGATATTCCAAACTATGATCTTCCAAACTATGATCTTCCAAACTATGCGCTGTTAGGTATAATGAAAAAGATAAGAGGAGATGATGGAAGATTTGGAATACAGGAGAAAATCTATGCTGATGTTGAGAGCCGACCACACCACTTGGATAAGTTTTACGGTGCCAAAATATTTCAATTAAAAAAAAAAACTTTTTTGAAAAAGATATTGTTAACTCTTTTGACCTATCTGCGTTAGTAACTAAAGTATGTTTCCTTAGAAAAGTAGATCTTTTTATTTTTTTTGTAAATGTTGGTATTGGTGGAGAACAAGGATCTTTAAAGATTGTAATAGACATGTTTGATTCATCAATATCACATTTTTCTTCAACGAACCAGAACTATACTGTGTCAGCAAACTGAGCATTCAATCAATAGTTTGAAATCTAGAGAAAAAGTATCACAATCTGAAAACAATTTTCAAACTCCATCAACTCAATTAACTGAAGTTTACCCTCATACTCATCACATTATCCGTGGATTATCTGTAACTACTTTATTTTCTTATTTTGAATTAAGATGAAATGTAAATTTTTAATAAGCAATACCTAAATTGTTTTTTCTCAAATATAAGGCCACTTGGAAAATACTTATGTTGCTATTATGAAAGCTCATTAGATGAGAAAGGAACTTAAAAGACTTTCGGATCACTAGCAGATGAAAGTACCTTTTTAATAGCAAACATTATACACAAATGCAATATTTTGAAAAAAATTCTTTTATCTATGTTTATTAGATGCAAAATTGATTGAAAGTTTATCAAAATAATTCTAACAACTGAACACCATATTTAAATCACCATGAAAATAAAGGTTCTCACAATGTAAAACTCTCTCATTTTGGAAAGGACGGAAATTCTACAAATCAAAACATTTTTAACATCATAACAGTAGAACAGTATTAAATAAAACTTAAAACATCAAAAAATCCTGTATCCGCCACTGTGATAACCAACTGAAAACAGTGGCTTAAAAAACTCAAAGCAAAAATATCTTTAACTAAGCAGGGCCGACGACACGGGGGGCGCCTCACCCATTTTTTTTTTTTTAAAGAAAAATCTAGATACGGAGGACTTTTTTCACAAATTGATATTTCCCCCCCTCTCCCCCTTAAATCACTTTAAAACTCGTGTCGTCGGCCCTGCTAAAAACCTGCAAATAAAGAGCAATGTTAAATGGAACATGATTTTCATGATATTTCTACATGGCTTTTTAATATAAACAAGTTTTTATTGTATAAATAATAATTTCTGTAATTAAATTATTGTAAATTATTGTATAAATAATAATTTATTGTATAAATAATACTTTTATTAACTTTATAATACTTATTTTATTTTTATTTAGAATTGAGTATTAATATTTGAAATAAATGAAGTTTGGCTATAACTTCGGCCATATATTGACTATAAGCCTCATAGGTTTTTTATAACATGGAACCTTTATCTAATTTATTTAAATTATTTGTTGCTTTAAATGTATGGTTTTGTGAGCTTTGTAATTTCATTAATTTTTTTTTGTAAGTGCTTTCCATACAATAATAACGTTTAAAGGACATTTAAATCAAGGCTAAGTTACATGATTTTTTGATTATTTCTTGATCTATAAAAGATCTCAATTTATACAAATAGTTATTTAACAGCTTGCAAATAATAAATTTATGCATCAGAATGACAAACTTATATTCTTTTATAAAAACTCCAAATAACTACTGCTATGAAACTTCTTGCATGTTTTTTAAATTATTTCGAATTTATATCTTGTAGAGTGGCTAGAATAGCAGATTATAACTAACAACTACTTCAACCCTACAAAATAACCTTTCAGTAATAAAATTGGCAAGCTTCATGCTTGCTTGTTATGAAACAAAATGGTTTTTCAGAGTGTCAGTTGTCAATTCATTGAGACATTTCTATTGTTCTTAAGAACTTAAAGTCATGGTAAGCTAGACGTAAGGCACAACTTTTCAACTGCATTAATTTTTTTTCAACACACGCTCTACACTAAATCTGCAAATATTTTTGAGTAAAAAACGTGTGCGGAAGTTTTACATACCTTAGCCCAATGTATGTAAGCTAACTAGGTACAAATTTTTTTATAGCAATATAAACTATAAAAATAATGTTTGGGGTAGTACGGTTATTGCTGATATCGGTTATTGTTTATATCAGTAAAACGCAATAAACCTATTACGTGTTCGCAACAGTCAGAAACAGATGATAAACGTATACAATTTAAAAATTATTTCTTATAAAGAATGCAATCTTTAAATTCAAATTAATTAAACATTCAAAAAAAATAAAGGTAATAATAATTAAGCTAATGCAAAAACTTCAATATATTTTATTTTAATCGAAGGAACTTCAAGGTTATAAAAATGCCTTTATTTTAATATTTTTTATTAATTTGAATAAATAAGCGAACATTTACGCTAATTGATGGCTCAATTTCTGCACAGTGTCTTAGTCAATTTTTTTTTCTCCTAATGTCCGCTCTCTAATCAAATCTTTAGCTCTACTTATTATTTTGCCACTCTTACGCAAATATCCTTTGCTAATTCCCCAAATTGTACTTAAATGTCTCTCAAATTGCACCACTCTACGGTCTTCTTAGATTAATGATAAGAAGCAAGATCAGGCCAGAACCGATAGAGGACATCGTGACTTTGATAAAATGACAAAAATCTAGCTTGCAAGCATTCCTTGATGTAAACTTCCGAGTTTAAAGTTAGCGATGTGACGAAAACTCGAGATCTCAAAGCGCAGCTGCATATTATTTGCCACAAGAGAAGTTTCTTACCAAATTTATCCAATAGTTTATACTCGAACTTGTTGCTAACACGTCCACGAACAGTTGCAGTATAAAAGTTTGGACGTTGGAGCTGTTTGAAGTCACATTTTATGTACGTTTCGTCGTCCATAATTATGCAGTCATTAGATTTTGGAAACACTTAGTTATAAAGTTTTCAAGCTCGAGTTTTAGCAGTCAGTGATTGCTGATCTGATCGGTTTAGATATTCAATGGCTCGACAAGACTTGAAATTGTAAAATTTCTTAACTTTCCTGAAGAAAAATTCTGAAATCTTTTGGCTTGTTCTCTGTTTGCCGCAAATGATTATAAAATACTAATTGCTGCTTACTTATTCTTCTAGCCACTCTTTCTTCCAGATTCTTTTCCTTGTTCAATAGATAGAAAGCTCTTGTATTGTTTTATGACCATTTAAACAGTAGTTTTGCTAAATTCAGATGTTTTAGCAATTGAAAGTAACAATGCAGAAGCATTTTGTAGATCGTTGTATAGATTTTTTTTTTTCGTTTTTGTAACTGTTTCGATGACATTTTAGTTAAAAGAAATATTTTGACTCGTTGGTTGATGTTTTTAATTAATACTTTCAATGCTTAGTCTAATTACGCAAAAGAGATAATTTTAAAATGTGTATGTGACAATTTTTAATACAAAGTTTATCAACGATCGCATGCTTTATTTAAAATTTAAAGAAGTAAAAGCACTAAAGGCTTAGGATATTAATGTCAATAATATATTATAATAATACATAATAATTTGTTGTAAAAATGACCAACCATTACTATTTTGTTTTTCAACAAAAGCATCTATCCTAAAGGCTATTAATAAAAGATTGATGTTAACTACAGAAAAAGCAGTAATTGAAAAATTGTGGCATATAATTGAATTGCTAAAATTGAATCATTAAAACTTTATTTTAAAATATACTTCCAGGGCCGCCCCGAAGAGATTTTAAAGGAGAGGGCGTTGGTAGGCAAAAAAAAAAAAAAAAATTTCCTTTGGCGTACTAACTTATCTATTATATATATATATATATATATATATATATATATATATATATATATATATATATATATATATATATATATATATATATATATATATATATATATATATATATATATATATAAATATATATATAAATTGTTTGTCTAATATGTATATAAAAGTAGATAAATTATACCTGCTTTTATAAACTATATGTACGCAAAAAAGGTACATTATTTTAAAACTATAAATAAGGAACACATCTAATATTCAGGCAAAAAAAAAAAAAAATTAAGCATGCAAAAGATGAAAAAAAAAATTAATCACAAAAACAAGCAAAAAAAAAAAAAAAAAAAAAAAAATTGATAAAAAAAAAATCATTCATTGTCCTTCGCGCTGGCTGACGGTTTTACAAAATATTTTAGAAAGAGACTTTTTATTGAAAATTCTCTAGTTATAATTCCGTAAAACAAGTTTTTGTGCTGAAACACAATAAACATCTGATTAGTCAACAATTGTAGTTAGGAAATAGGAAAATAGAAAATAGGAATAAGGGAATTTAAATAGTAAACAGGGGTAACTAAACTCATTAATAGGATTGTACATGGTACATGTACCATGTTCAATCCCATTAATGAGTTTAGTTACCCCTGTTTACTATTTAAATTTCCTTATTCCTGTTTTCTCATTAATAGGATTGTACATGGTACATGTACCATGTACAATCCCATTAATGAGTTTAGTTCTACAATTTTGTAACTTTTTTGTATCAGTCAGCTAATTTTAGAAATTGAAGTTTTTTTTTTTTAATTGGCATAAATGCTTACGACACCAAACTTCCAACTTAACTTATTTAAGCTTCGTTAGTGATTATAAATTAAAGTAATATAATGAAAATAAATAGTAATAATAACAACAACAACAGCAAATCGTATGCAAAATACAGCTGAACTCTAATAATTCAAACTTCTATAATTCAAAAGATCATTTTAATCAAACAAATTATTTGGTCCCTTTAACGTTAGATATTTAGTATTGAACTTCTACATAATGAAAACTTTTTTTTTGAAATTTGAACATAATAACAAGACCCTTCTGACCTGAGGATTCGAATTGTCTATCAATGATACGGTATCATGCAACATGAATTCAGCTCCATCAACTCCAATTAAACCAGTAGATAATTGGGTACAATTGGTACTTTAGTTTTAAATATTATTTGAAACAATAAGCATGTTTAATTTATACATTTCCAGATAAACAAATACTGCTTTAACAAAAGTAAATTAGGGTAATGCCACAATTAAGCGGTGTAAAGTGACACCATGTAACATATATTTATTTTTGTTTTGCTCTTTAATATTTTTTTTCATCATGTTTTGCCAAAAAAACTTAAGACACTGTTGATGTTCTACAAAAACTTTTCTTTTATGACTAAGGCAACAATGCTTTGAAATATGTATGCTTTTCATAAACCTTTAGTAATTTCAAGAAATTTTCAAAAATTTCTAGATAGTTCACTTAGTGTTCATACTTTTTTGATTTTGTCTTTATAAATTGACTTTTTATTTTTTGTCTAACTTTCCTAACCAAATAGACATCAATGATCTGAAACCTAGGTCTAACCAGGGTGAATGCTAGTGAAATGAATGAATTAAAATATGATTTCAATAAAAGTGAATTTTTTTTGTGTTGTGGTCATAAAATCAAAGTTTATGCTCAGCATAGTCGTTTTTCCAGTCTTTACCAAATACTATGGAAAAACGCCTTAAGAATTAAGTCTTTTTCAATTGAAATGTAATTGAAAAATCAATTGAAATGTAATGCTTTAAAAAGAAGGACACAATTTGTGTTACATATGTAGCTACATTTTCTTACTCTTAAAAAATAGTGAGTATAGTAACACATTTTGATAAAAAGGATAAATAAGTCTAATAATAGTTTACACATTTATTATATCAATAATAAATATTATTTACAAAACTAAATATTCATTATAATAGTTATGGTAATAGTAAACATTTGAAAATATTCGTAAGTCTCCACAAATGAAAACACAAGGTTAAGTTTTAGGATCACCTGAAAATAAATATTCTTTTAACTATTAATATTAACTTAATGCTTTTTATTATATAAATATATATATATATATATATATATATATATATATATATATATATATATATATATATATATAAAATTTTCGTGTTAAAAGTCAATGGGGGTGGGGGTAAGTGGTGGTGGGTTGTTTTTTTAATGTGTTTAATTAATTAATGTAAGGGTTTGGGTTTGGGGCAGTATAAGTCAGTCAATGTAGCATCACTCTTACATTTCTCACAAAAACAGTATGATATCTGCTTGCATTTTTTTAAAACTCAAAAACCTCATTTTGAGCCATACTATCTTATTCTTACCAAGGCATACAATTGCGTACAAGGAAGGAGGGGGGGGGGTGAGAGTTGTAAAGCAGTAGTTTTACTATATACATATTTTATGGATGCTCCCTAACCACAATCAAATCCTAATTTTTTTTACTTGGTTAACTATCTACTATTTCCAGTTAAGTAAAGCTGAAAGATATATATAAAAAAAGAGATTCATATATAAAAAACTCTGGCTTAATTTTATTAATTAAAAAAAATAGGCTCCTTACTATAGTATGGTTATCCTGCAGTTAAGCAGTGCAACCCCTATACCCTCTTGGGCTGGCTTGAGGTGAATAAGTTATTTACCTAGGGAAAAGAAAACTTTAAGTAACCTCTCCCCCCCCTGATACCCACACACCCAAGATAAAAAAAAAATAAAATAAAATAGTTGTGGGTAAAGGTAGAAAGAACATTTAAACTTTGGATGATAGTCTTTCTAGTAGTATCCCAATAAAAATACTCATTTTTTTGATTGACAAAATAGGCTGATGTCAGCGAAGGTATCTGGTTGCAAAATATTACTTTGACTCTTTCATTATATCATTTAAAGTAAAATTGTAATGGAACCTTTGCATTAAACTTGAAAAAAATAAAGAAAGTTCAGAATTTCATAATAAACTCAAGAAAAAATTTTTGTAATAAAAATGTAGTTTTAATTTAAATATTTCGAAAAAAATAAATTTTAATATCAAGATTTACTACAACTATTATTTTTAGAAAAATGTCCATTACAAAATCCATCTTCTTTGAAATGTCAAGATGTTCGAACAAAGTTTTGCTACATAAAATCTTGTACAAGGTATTAAAATTTTGTTATAACTGATTAGAGCAAAAATGTTTTAAAAAATTTGTTAGGTTCAAATGGGAATAAATTCTGAGCTTGTGTTTGTATAAACAATAAATTTTTTTTCCAAAGTGAGGTGATTTCTTGAGGCTCTTATGTTTGTGCATTCATATATATATATATATATATTCATATATATATATATATATATATATATATATATATATATATATATATATATATATATATATATATATATATATATATATCAATCAATCAATCAATCAATCAATCAATCAATCATATTTATTGACAGGCTCAAGGCCCAATATAATAAATATACAATGGGTGAAATAAAGTGGATATAAAAAAAACAAAACGCACTTGAATATAAACAAAGCCAAAGTATAATTTTTTTACTTATCCCTATAAGTAAAAAAATTATAATAATCAAGTGCTAAAAGTATAACTCAGCTCTCCATTTAATCAACAATGGAAACTGCAAGAACCAGAGTTAACAAAAGCTTTTATGATGAGATTCTCACTGTTCTGCAGCAGTAACAATGAAGAGTATTGTTGCTTACGAATAACAAAATTAAGTGAATGGGCACCATGTTTCACAAATAATTCACTAGCACTGTTCCATGGTGGCTTGTTCAATATCAAGCAAAGTACATTATTATATGCAACACATAGATGATGAAATGAGTCTTTTTTCCAAAGATACTATAACTGACATTCATAGATTCGGCTGCAAAAGGTATTAAATAACATGGTCTTTGTTTGTATTTGTGTAGAGCTGAACTTTCTACGGATGAGGTTTAGCATACATAAAACGTACACGTATTAAGATATCTTTGTCATCCAGTATATCGTTTGAGATCAAATGACCCAAGTATTTATATTGACAAGTGTATGTTACAACCTTGTCAGATAAGGTGAAACATGGGCTATCTAGGGGTTCATAAATTTTAAAGAGCATTATTTGAGACTTAATACTGTTGTAAAATATATTATGTTTTTCAGCATAACTAGAGCAAAAGTCAAGTAATATCTGGAGACCTTTGGCTGAGGGTGCACACAGGACAATATCATCAGCATAAAGAAGATGGTTAATGAGAGAAGGACCCAAGCAACAGCCTACAGTAGTTTTATTAAGTAGAACACTAAGATCATTAATGTATATATTAAATAGAAGAGGAGACAGTACACCTTCTTGACGCACTCCATTACTGATATTAAATGTTTTGGATAATATTCCATTCCATAAGATCTGAGCTGTTTGACCAGCATTCCAGACAATGAGTAAGCGTAAAGTTACACCATAGATAATTTTAGCTAGTTTCATAAATAGTGTGTCAAATCGAACTCTATCAAATGCCTTACTAATGTCAATAAATGCCACATGCATATTTGAGCCATGAGACTTGTAAAAATTTAAAATATCTTTTAAAATAAGAACTGGCATAAAAGTGCTATGGTTTTTCTTGAATCCAACTTGATTGGGAGTCCCAGTGAAACTTTCATTAACGCGTGAGACAAAAATATGTTCCAAAATCTTGGAAAAAATTGTAACCAGAGCAATTGGACAATAATTAGCAGAATCGGAGATGTCAGCATTTTTATCTTTAACCACAGGAGAAATAACAGAGTGTGTAGCACCAATAGGCATGTGTCCATGGCAAAGCATGGAGGAAAAGCACAATGACAAAATATTAAAGTAGTTTAGGCTAGCACAGAGATAATGCTACAACTGAAGTCCAAAATGGTCAGCTGTTTTTCCACAGGTCATATGATTTATGATTGGACTTCATCGCGAGTGACAAGATAGGCATCATCCTTAAGCAGATTACAGTGTTTAACTATAAAGGTGTCATTAATATTGCATGTTAGCTTGACTGAGTTAAACAGGGTGCAATAGTTATTATACCACATGTGACACACATTATCAGGACCTGATGCAGAATCAATAAAAGGCAGAAGACTACATTTATCGTTGCGAATACAAGTCACGGTAGTCCAGAAACTAGTATAGTTTTTATTTGCTAAACTGTTCACCAGCTTTTCTGCTTTTGTAGTATCTTCTTTTTTTTTGCAGCAAAGAATAGCATATTTTTATAAAGCTCTTGCATTTTTTAAAAGATTGAAGATTGGGCCAAATTTTGGTTTATTATAGTTACGCCATAGACAGAACGCATCTTTTACATAATCCGTCCAACCTGGCATAGGTTATTTTTTTATAGAAACTTGATTTAGAATGGTTAAGACACTGAGACAAAGATTGAGTAAGACATTTATTCAGTATATTGTACAGGTAGTTAATCTGCTTAACATGCTCAAGTGAGTTACAATTTACATTACTACAGTTAATTACCTCAAGCTGATCCATGTTAATTGAAGACACTGAGTTAAACACAGTGGAAGTATACTCCTTTATCATAGTGCTTGGCAGAGCATTAAAATTTATTTTAAGAGATCTTGTCGTAATAGGGTGAGCAGTAGAGGAGAAAGAGAGGAGAAACTACTACATGGAGACCGAAATCGTGGATCATAGTTAGAGTCACCAGTAATAACAAATTTACTATTTAAGTCTGAGATAAGAGCTTAAAGATTACCAAGGTATTCAAGATACTTATCAACATTCTCATATGAATCACAAGGCATGTAGACATTGATATATATATATATATATATATATATATATATATATATATATATATATATATATATATATATATATATATATATATATATGTTAGGGCCCTGCGAATCACCTTTTTTGGCCCTGATATATATATATATATATATAATATATATATATATATATATATATATATATATATATATATATATATATATATATATATATATATATATATATATATATATATATATATATATATGTTAGGGCCCTGCGAATCACCTTTTTTGGCCCTGATATATATATATATATATATATATATATATATATATATATAATATATATATATATATATATATATATATATATATATATATATATATATATATATATATATATATATATATATGTTAGGGCCCTGCGAATCACCTTTTTTGGCCCTGATATATATATATATATATATAATATATATATATATATATATATATATATATGTATATATATATATATATATATATATATATATATAGTATATATATATATATATATATATATATATATATATATATATATATATATATATATATATATATATATATATATATATATATATATATATATATGTTAGGGCCCTGCGAATCACCTTTTTTGGCCCTGATATATATATATATATATATATATATATATATATATATATATATATATATATATATATATATATATATATGTATATGTATATATATATATATATGTTAGGGCCCTGCGAATCACCTTTTTTGGCCCTGATATATATATTATATATATATATCAGGGCCAAAAATATATATATATATATATATATATATATATATATATATATATATATATATATATATATATATATATATATATATATATATATATATATAATATATATATATATATATATATATATATATATATATATATATATATATATATATATATATATATATATATATATATATATATATATATATATATCAGGCCTTGCGATAAAGCGTCGGGCAATGTGAATTTTACGTCGCCCAAGAGCGATTTTGCGTGTAGCTAGGGCTATTTGCGTCGAACAAAAAAATTTTTGTTTGAGTATATTTAAAGATATTTTTGAGCGGAGTTTTAATGAAGTAATTTACAATTATTTTAACATTTAATAAAGTATTTTAAAAACCGCACGCAGTTGATATAAAAGTTTGAATTACGAAAAAAATAAATATGCTCATTATTTGCAAGTAGAAAAAATTCAGATTAAAAAAAAGTTTAAATCTTTTTAAGCTAGCATTTTAATAAAATTAATCAGCAATAGCAAAGTTGTCGATAAAATTGAACAAAAATACTTTCTTTTAGTTTTAGATTTTTAACTTAAATAATTATTTTACAGGGGTTTGTTAGGTTTTAAAATTATTCCATAGATTTAAAAATATTTATTAACTGTTAGACAAATTTAAAGTATTTAGGAGTAATTTCGAGGAAACATTTTAAAAATTGGTAAGCGCAAATAAAAAAAAATTAAAGGATTAATATTAAAACGTATTCTACTTGATTCAATAAAAAAGTTCAGTTATTAAAATTTTTGTAAAAAGTAACTCGAAAAAAATTACTTAAACAATAACAATCGCTTTTTTGTTAAAAGTTACCAAAACTCAACGAAGCGTGCTCAAGAACAGCTGCTGAAAAGTAGAACGTCAATAGTTTTTCGAATAATTTTTAAGAATAATTTTTTCGCTGAAATATATTTTTTATACCTAAAAGATTTTTATTCTAACATTTTATTTTATTTTATTTTACCAAAAATAAAATTCCTTGTAAACATTAAAAATCTATTCAAAACGTTCGTTAAAATTTTTTAATAATACGAGTGATTGTGCTTATCAACCGCTTTATGAAAATAAATAAAAAAAAATAAATAAAAAAATATTATATAAAATCGCTAATAAAAATATTAGCTATTGCACAGTTTTTAATCGTACAATATTAAAATTTCCAGTTTATTACTCTCTGACTTTTTAAAAAGAAAAAATAATTATTTGAAAAACATTTATTTTTTATTCGTTTAGTATAGACAAAACGTGTCAAACGTCAAGAAAATAAAAAAATGTTTTTACATTTTTAAAAACGAAAGATTCCAAAATATTTTTAAATAATAACATTTCTACATTAATGATTTAAAGTAGTTTTGCGGTAATTAAGTAAATTGGTGCAGTTAATGTTGATAAATATGAAAAGCAAATAAAAAGAATTTAATGACGTCAAAAACACGTCATGCTTATGCGTCGCGCAGTTTTTATTCATCACAAGGCTTGATATATATATATATATTGTTTTATCGTCTCGTCCATTTAATAACGTTTATAATCTATAGCTTTATATATTCTTTCTAACATCCTATACAAAAATCTTTTCTCTATATATATTAAATTAAAAAGTCCCATGAGAATATTCTGTTAATTACAGTTGAAATAACTTATGTAGATGCGTGACTTTCAACACGCATCTACGTGATTTCTAACATGTACAATTCACCAACATAATAATAGAACATGCCCTCTTGGTGAATTAACTCATAAGTCTAATCTTTGTGGGGGCTTTACTGTTCGTCCGGAGCGTGTTACTTGCAGCACGTTGAGTTCTTGAGAATCATTTTGAACTTGAGCGACATCATCATTATAACTTCCTTTAACGTTATCAGTTTTATCGTTTAGTCTATAAAAAACATCGTTGACTGATTCATTTAAACTCTGTACGTCTGTACGGCGACGCAGGTGTGAAATGTGACATGGATATACCCGATTCGCAGTTTCCACGTCAAACGACAAAGTATTTTGCTTTCGTACTACTCCTGGTATCCACGGCTGGTCATATTTTGTTTCTTGAGTTGGTTTTACCCAAACATCGTCACCCACTTTGAATTTCTTGCTTACGCCTTTCTCGTCTACCTTCCTCCGAGTATCGACGCCTGGGATGAAACATGTCGATCTTTTCTTGAATTGCTTGGATGGACTTTCAGTACAATTGTATGATATTGTCTCGTTGTACAGCAAGACTGCCAGAGCGATTGAACAATGTGAGCGAGCGACCGTTCTTTTTATCGTTCTGTGTATACGTTCAACTATACCATTACCTTGAGCTCAATGTGCTGCTCGATATTCCAAATTAACATGCCATTCTTCAGCAAAACTTGTTAACCTGTTGGACCGAAATTCGTTGTCCATTAGAAGACATACTGGCAGACCAAATAAAGAGAATATTTCTTCGAGTCTACCAATAACTTCAGCAGCTGCTTTAGTTACTAGTTTACGCCATATTGTATACCGTGATGGACCACAGTCAATCATTGATAAGTACAGTTCAGCACCTACATGCGTCACGTCAATGGCAACCCGATTCCAATTTTCTTCTACGCTTAGTTGGCCATTCTTCCACTTTATGGAGTAAGGATCAATGGAGTTACACTGGTTACAATTCGCAATTACTGCTGAAACCTCCTTACGTGATACATTCTGATTATTTCGCAAGCAAAGTTGTAATATTCGAGCAACACCAAAATGACCAATTGAATGAATTTTCCATATGTCTTTTTGATCAAGTAATCCAGCTGCACACACTGTTCTGCACCATTTTTGAGGGATTCGTGAGAGTCGATCAGCCAAATTTATCTCAAATGGAATCCATTGTACTGCGATCTGAATATCTTTTGCCACTTCCTTAATAGTATTCAATCGTCTTTGTACTAACAATTGAGAAATTCCCCAAGTTTTTACGCATTTTTCTTCCTTCAAAATTGCGTTTAACCATCCTACGGTGCTCTTGCTATCACAGTATACTGTTAACTCTTTTATGCCCCACTTACTAGCTAAGTTTAGTCCTCGAAGAATAGAATCCACTTCACTTATATTGATATGGTGTGTGTCACTCGCTGGCCGTAGCTATGCTGCGTCTTCAACAACTACTCCACCAATGAGCAGAACTACTCCAAGTCCTATAGATGATGCATCACAATAAAGCTCAGCTTTTCCATTAACTGGTACCAGCCATTTTCCACCAACCGGATCCTCTTTTTCCACACAGTAAAGCAACTCTTTCAGTTTTTCTTTACAATCTTCAGAAATAAAATCACACTAAGGTATATTTCCAGCTAAACGTTTGATGTATGAAGCTTGTAAACGCAAACTTCCTGCCACTGGGTAATGTCCAATAAGTTTGCCTAACTGGCTGAAAAGCTGTGATCGTGTGACTGCATTTAAAGATTCGAATTGTACCACATTGTCTCGTTTCCATATCAGTTCCCCATTTTTATTTCTTTTGACTCTCAATCCTAAGACACGTCCTTGTTCAAGATCTTGTGGAGGTTTACATTGTAATCCGAATTTAAGCAGATGCTTCGCTACATTTTTTGCAGTTTCCACACTTTCATCCACAAATATATCATCAATGTAGTTATCACATGCTTTCTTTACGGTTGGATTTAAATTGAGCACATGCCGAAGAATTGTGGTCATTATTGTTGGAGCTACATTGATGCCAAAACACATCCTGGTAAAACAATACCGTTGCCCATTTATAATCACCGTTTGATATGGCCAAAGTTTTTTTATCAATATGAATTTGGAGGTAGGCTTTTTTAAGATCGAGAATTTTTGCATTTTTTATTTTTCTCCAGCAACGCAGTTTTTCTTGACAAACGTCCGCATTTGCCGTATGACAATTTACAAATTCGTTGAGAGCTCGGAAATCTCCCACTGGACGTACCTTTTTGTCCTTGTTTTCTTGCACTACGCACATAAGCGGTATCAATACCTTTGGTGGTCCCAATATTTGTTCGTTATATGGTACAAGAATACCAGAGTCAATCCATTCACGTATTTCTTTACGGTAACTACGTTCGTGCTCTTGGTTCATCTTGTATTCACAAATGGTATTATCAATTACAGGCTCTTTATTCCAGTTCCATGATGCCGTCCATTTTTTTCCGTCGAACTTTGCTGTGAAGTCCTAATGTTTTGTTTCGTTTCTTTTGTTCTCTTCATTTCTTGTTGTATTTTTGACATCAATTTTTAATTCGTTTATTTCGTTTTCGTTTTTTCTCGTCGTAGTAACGGCACCACATTTCGCTTTGTCACATGCTAACATTCGGACGTTACAGTTTTTATTACCATAAATGATAACTCCTCCAAATTTTTTAATTGCATTCTTTCCAAAAATCAAATCAAACCCAAATGGTTTTTCTTTTACAACCAGAGAATTAACCATCCGGTGTATTCCATCAATTTCCAGATTGATTACCATTTCACCCAGCACTTGCACAGTTCCTCCCAAAGTTGTGATAAGTTTTTGACTTTTTAACACAAGCCCATGCGCGGACTCAGCATGAACCACAGTAATGGAGCATCCAGAATCAATTAATGCTGTTCGGAGCCTTCCATTTATTTTCACTTTTAATGATGGCAACGTCATTTCTGGGAGAATACTGGATGCCATTATTTCCAGATTCTTCTTTTTCCTTTTAAACCTTGCAATCGTTTAAAGCAGTTTTTAGCTTGATGATCGTGTGAACAAGTCTTGCATTTTTCTTCGCAGTCCCTTGCAAAATGTCCAAGTTTTCCACAATTGAAACATTTAACTTTGTTTATGTCGGACGCACCAGACGTCGGTGAAAGTAACGATGTTGCGCCAATCATTACATTCTCGGAACCATCTAATTGTCGAGCTTCCTGGGTTACTCGTTCAAGGGTAACAGCTATTTCCACAGCCTTTTCAAAAGTTAGTTCTTTAGATTCCAGTAGTAACCGTTTGATTGTAACACCATCGTTAAAATTCGTTAAACCCGTGATGAATTGGTCGCGCATTCGATCATCTCTATCCGTGAATTTGCATCCTTCAGCAGCTCTTGTAATCCGTCGTGAAAATTCCGTCACATTTTCGTTACTTGCTTTTTTTATAGTTGCAAATTCAAAGCGTAGTATTAACGATGACTTCGGTTTAAAAAGCTTCATGATGTTTTCCTCGATGTCTTCGTAGGTAACTGAGTCATCTTCAGGGTATGCAGGCAAGCATAGATCTTCTAGTGCGGAATAAATCTGTGGTGGCAAACATGTTAATATTATTGTTTTTCTTTTGGATTCGGGTACATCCATCGCAGTTCTGTATGTTCGTAGTTGGCGGTCGAACCGCTGATGGTTGCCATCGAATACCAGTGGCATAATGGCCGAAATAGCTTGTTTTATCGTCGCGTCCATTTAATAACGTTTATAATCTATAGCTTTATATATTCTTTCTAACATCCTATACAAAAATCTTTTCTCTATATATATTAAATTAAAAAGTCCCATGAGAATATACTGTTAATTACAGTTGCAATAACTTACGTAGATGTTGACTTTCAACACGCATCTACGTGATTTCTAACACGTACAATTCACCAACATAATAATAGAACATATCTCATCATATCAACATATCAACAATAAAAAGATGAAGAAAGGCAACCTTATGATGATGAGATATTCACTTAATTTACAACAAGTTTTTGATCCTTTTGATAAAGAATAAGGTTATATATGAAAATATTATTTCGTAAAAGGATGATTAAAAGATTTATAAAGGTAGAAAATAGAATCAGAGTAAAATGATGGCAACCAAAAAACAAAAAAAAAGACAACTTTTGCAGATATGTACTTTGCAATGGATTGTGTATGTGTTTCCCCATGAGAGTTCTCGATCTATCACATGTGTATCATATTCAAAACTGGCAAAACTTGTTTTAAAAGATAAAAAAGTGATGAATTCTAAGAATTATCACTCATTCATCCTAAAGTATTCAATGCTTAAGAATGAAATTATTACGATTACTTCGGAACATGTTGCTAGCAGGACTGTGGCACATAATGTAACAAATGATGTATCACCACTTGTGTGTTAATTTTAAATATTTATTGTTTTGCACAATAATTTGTTTTTGTTTTCCCAAAGATCTGGTTTTTGAAATTCAAAATTCACTCAAAAGTTGTTTGCAGTGGTTTCACTATACTCCAATGTAAAAATATATTTTCCAGAAATGTGGTTCCCATTTTTCATTGTGGGTAATGTTCAACCTAATACTGAATTGCATTTCAAGCTCAACTGAGAAAGAAAAATAGAAAATTAGAGTAATTGTTTTTCATCCATTGAATAAATACATCAAAAAGGCCTTAAAGCCAAGAAGAAAAAAAACATAAATGTTGCAGAAAATAATTTACTCAAAACTGGTTATTCTGCACATTTAATTTTATTAAATTTTTTTTTTGTTCAACTGTATTTTGTTAAACTGTTTTTTTTTTTAAAAGATGTTGTTATCATCAAAAGTCTTGCAATCCAGCCCCTGCACTGTTGACAGAACCTTCAAATTGTCATAAAGGTTATTATTGATATTATTTAGTTTAATTTTACATCTCAATAAAAATAGTGTTAATATATTAATATGTATAAAAAGATTAGGTGGTTTTAAAAAAAATTTATGTGTTGGATTTTTAAGTTAAAATGTTGGTTTTTAAAATAAAGTTTATGTTGGAAATTAGTATTTGTACATCAATATTTTTTTATTTTAAATTTGAAAATTAAATCGAACAATGGAGCTTTTTAGTTTTACTGTGTTTTGTATTTTAGATTTATTGTATTGTGTAGCAATGTTTTATTATATAAAATCTTTTATTTGTTGTGTATTATAAAAATATAATAATTAAAACATTAGGTTTTGAAAGAAAAGAGCTGATTAATTGAACCATTTGGGATTCATTGAACCATTGGTGAAAAAAAAAAAACAACTCTATTGTTGTTGTTTTTTTTGTTTTTTTTTCTATTTTTAAATATTGTAACATATTTTTATCCATGCAGTTGTTTTGTATTGTTGATAAAAATAATAAAATGATACATTGCAATTTGCATTTTCACAATTACTTTTGATTAAATTATTTTTCCAGCACAAAAATTTAATCAAAGCTAAATTTAAAAAAAATTGGGTTGACAAATTTGGCTCTGCATTGTTTGTTATAGACTTTGTTTCTATTAATTTTAAAACTCTTCATAATTTGCCAGTCTTACCTGAGGTTTCATCACGGAGGTTTCATAGGATTTAAATTTATAGCATTTAAAGAATTGCAGCTACTATTTTCAAAAATTAATAGAAATTTAATTAACTATGCTAACAAACTAATTTAATTAATTATGCAAACCAACTAATTATGCAGCAAGGAGTTCTATTTTTTAAAATTCTATTTCTATTTTCAATGTTACTTACTTCTCCAATGTTACTTACTTCTCCAAGGCCACTATAGTTGAGGAGTCTACTTTTTTTTTTTTTAATTTGTTATTTTTTTTTGTTGTGACTAAAACTTTATTTTTAACTAACTTTATTCCAAAACATGAACAATATTCCTACATAGTTGCTTTTTTTTCCTTTTTACAAACATGTTTGTTTCATTTAATATTATCATCGAGAACAGCTTTGACATTGCCAACAAGTGACATAATCTGTCAGTTGCAGAGCATCCTTACAAGGTTTTCGCTAATGGCGGATGTGTAACGGATAATAAAAAAGAAAAGAAAAAAAAAAGAAAAGAAAAAAAAAAAAAGCAGTAAATTATTTGAATAAAAAAAAAGAATTTATAAATTTAATTGAAGATTAAGGTATTTGATAATAATGCTTATAATATAAATTTAAAAAAGTGATAAGAATTTGAGTGGCAAAATACCTACTATAAAGAAACAAAAAGTATTAAAGAAATTTTTACAAAGAACTTTTTTTGTTATTAACTTTTAAAATCATTTAAAAGAAAAAATCACGTCTGAAAGAAAGTCTGAAAGAAATTTAAAGTTTGAAAGATAGAAGTAATAAGTTGGAGAGAAGTTTAAAAAGCATTATTTTTTGCGCTAATATTTGAAATTGTATTGCATTTAACTTTTTTTTCTTTTTTTTCTTTTTTAGCTTTTTCGTTTCCTTTTCTTTTTTTTACTTATATATTTTTTACTTATACATATTATAAATTATTTTATTATTAGTTTTATTATGGTACTTTTTATTATTGAGTGTTGATTATAATTACAGTATTCATATTTTTATTTTTATTACATATTGCTACTGCTGCTATTTGTATTACTGTCACTATTGTTGTTATTGTCGTGATTATTATTCTTGTATTCATTATTTTATTATAAGTATTTATTAGTATTCGTATTGCCAATATTATTATTTTAATTATCGTTATTTTTATATTTTAGTATATTCTCTACTGCTATTTTATTGTTGTTTAAATTACTAATAATCTTATTTATATCTATAGCTTACTAAATTAATTTCTACTATAATGTCTCAACTTTGTAAAAGTTGTAATAAAGATATTCGTGCTAATCATCTTTCATTTCAATCTAAAGACTGTTTAAATTCATTCCATAATAAATGTTCTCTGGATAAAATTGATTTTAGATCATCAATAAACTCTTCCATCAATTTTTGACTTTGTATAACATGCCACATTAGTATCTTTCCTTTTTGTTCTATATCGGATAATGAGCTTCGACTTCAATCGTCAATTGATTGTATACTACATCTCAATGAACTCCCAAATGACCTTTCACTCTTTCCTACCTCTCTAGAATCTAATATTTTCAATCAACTTAATAACTTTTTCTCTTATCAACTAAATAATAACGACAATGATGATATGAACGTATTGACAATCCAATTAATTGTAAACATATAGATATTAAAAATTTTAACTCTTTAAAATCACAAATAGTTGTTTTTCTCTTCTTCATTTGAACATTGCTTCATTAGTTAAACATTTTGATGAATTAAATCCACTTCTGCATCTAATTAGTTATGAATTCAGCGTTATCGGAACAACCGAATCCAAGCTGAAAAATGATTTACTACCGACAGTTCCTATAAATCTTAATGGATATGTTTATGAACATACTCCAACCGAAACATCATTTGGAGGAGCTTTAATTTAAATTTCTGAAAAACTAATTTATAAACCTAGAAATGAATTACTTATGTATAAACCCCAATTCCTAGAGTCAGTGTTTGTTGAAATCATCTTCCCTAAAAAGTCTAATATCATAGTAGGATGTATCTATCGTCATCCTAATATGGATATTGATGAATTTAATTTTTTATATCTAGCTGTTTTATTTGAAAAACTTTCCCTTGAGAAGAATAAAACCATCTTTTTAATGGGTGACTTTAATATAGATCTTATTAAAGCAAACTCAGATAGTTCCATTGCGGAGTATTTAAACTATTGCCTCTAACAACTTTCTTCCTTTTATATCCTTACCAACAAGAATTGTAAATCACTCAAAAACTTCAATTGATAATATATTTTCTAACTCAATTTTTAAAGATATTTTCTCCGCCAATCTAACTATTAGAATATCGGATCATTTGCCACAGTTTCTAATTTATCCATTTTTTAAAAGCAAAAAAAAATATTTTCCTAAAAGCAATATTTTCCTTCGAAATTTCAAGAAACTTGATAGTAATCAATTCAAAAACGAAATTAATTTTTTTAATGGTAATACAAACAAATTATATGAAGACTTTTTCCGTAGCCTTAAATCTCTTTTAGACAAACACACACCACTAAAAAAATATGTGGCTTAACTCAGAGCCTTAAACCATGGATTACTCCAGCAATCTTGACCTCAATAAAAAAAACGTAATATGATATTTAAAAAATTTCTCAAAACAAAAAATCTAATTATTAAACTAAATCTTGAAAAAACTTACAAAACCTATAGAAATGTACTTGTAACACTTATTCGACACAGGAAAAAAAAAATTTTTTTTCAAATATTTTCAGCAATAATTTGAGGGCTATGTGGAAAGGCATTAGAAAGCTTTTGAATATTTATTCAGAAGATATCTCATACCCATCTTGTATATCTTCAAATAACACCATTATACATGATCCAAACAAAATATCGGAAAAAATCAACTTGTTCTTCATTTCAATACCTGCCGAATTGCAAAAAAACATTCACTCATCCCATACTAACTTCTATAACTATTTAAAAACACCAAACCTTGAATATATATTTATTAAACCTACTGATGAAAATGAAATTTTATTTATTATTCTTTCTCTAAATGATGGCAAGGCTTCTGGTCCATACAGCATTCCAACCTTTATTCTTAAATTTCTTGCTTGGGATATTTCTCCATTACTTTCTAAACTGTATAACCTGTCATTCATTACAGGTATATTTCCTAACATTTTCAAAACAGCATCTGTTAAACCAATTCATAAAAAGGGCTCAAAACTTGACTGTAATAACTACAGACCAATATCATTATTATCTAATATCAGTAAAATTCTTGAAAAATTAATCTATTCTCCTATCTACCACTTTCTTGATAATTCTAAGTGCTTATATGGCCGCCAGTTTGGTTTTCGTTTAAAACACTCTACTTCCCATGCTCTTATTAGCATTACTTGAATAATTTGTGGTGCAATCGATAGTGGTTCATTTGCTTGTGGCGTCTTTATTGATTTCCAAAAAGCTTTTGACACGGTTGACCATAAGATTTTAATTAAAAAGTTATACTACTATAGCATACGGGGTATTGCTAATAATTGGTTTTCATCATATATTGAAAATCGTAGCTTGTTTGTCTCCATTAATGGGTTTGAATCCTCCAAAAAATTTATCAAATTTGGTTTCCCCCAAGGTTCTGTTCTTGGGCCTTTGCTGTTTTTAATATATATAAACAACTTGTCTCACTCTATAAGTAATTCCACCATTTTGCTGATGATACCAATCTTCTATGCATAAAGAAAATCACTTACTCAGCTTTGTAAAAAAGTTAATTCAGATCTCCATCATTTGTGTCTTTTGTTAAATAGTAGTCGTATCTCTCTAAATATCAACAAAACTTAATTCATTATTTTTCACCCTCCAAAAAAAATAATTAGTAATGATAATGTTAAAATTAAAATTATCAGTAAAAGAATCTTTCCTTCTGAATTTATAAAATATCTCGGAGTATTTCTTGACAAAAACCTATCTTGGAATTATCAAATGATTCAATTAAATAAAAAACTCTCTCGAGCCAATACTGCCGCCCTAAGTAAAAACGCAGTAAACAACAAAAATGACATTCTGAGAAAAAGCAACTTTTAGATTTTGTGTGTATATATTTTTTTAACTTACGGCAAAATGAACTATGGGTTTGATGACTTCGGAATATACCACAATATTTTTATATAGAGCGTTATTACACAGAAAACGATGTTAAAACGTTTGGTGCAATAATCTCGATTTTTCAATTTTTGTGATTACTGCGTTTTTTCTTAGGACGGCAGAATAGTATGTTATCTTTAATACGACACTATGTTCCTAAACATACTCTAGTATCAATTTACTATTCCATGTTCTCATCCCATCTAAGCTATTGTTGCGTTGTTTGGGGGCAACAAGGAAGTTTTCTATTAAATTGTATAAACAGTTTGCAACGTGTTTCCATAAGAATTATGACATTTTCTCCTATTCAATCTAATACCTAAAAAAGGTTTTCTGAATTAAAAATGATACAATTTCAAGATCTTATAAAGCTTTACAACTATCTTTTTGTGTTTGATTTCCTCCAAAATAATCTGCCAGGTTCGTTTAACAATTTTTTTATTAAGTCAAGTGATAAATACTATGAATAAATACATAAATACTATACTCATATTACTATAAATGGTAATTTGCACCCTTCTTTTTTCAATACTGTCAAGTATGGCAAGCTCTCCATAAAACATTAATGTATTTCTCACTGGAACCAATTAATACCTTTTATAAAAAAAAAAGACTTTAACTAAATACCCTTTTGTTACTAACTTTCTTCTTCTCAATAGAAACCTAATTAAGAAATTTTTATGTGAGAAAATATCTAAAAAATATTAATGCTATCTTTTATTACTATTCCTTCAATATATTTTTTAATTAATTACACTTTTTTTTATTTTTTTTATTTTTTTTTTATTGTTATTATTATTCTTTACATTGTTACTACTATTATTTTTATTATTGTTATTACTATTATTATTTATATATCTTTGTTTTTGTTGCCTTAATATTATTACCTATAATGATAGTCAAAGTAGTTCAGTAGTTGCAGTAGCTTTATCATTATTGTTATAACTATTCTTTAAATTTTTTATTTTATAATTATTCACTATACTATAATTATCTTACTATTGCTTTATCATTTATTATTCTTTTTACCTTGTTATATTGCAGTTATTATTTTTTATATTATTTTTATTCATATTATTGTTACTATTATTATTTTTATAAATATTATTACTTTTAACTTTCTTTTTCTCTCACTCCATTGACTAGTTTTCAACTATATGACCTAATCTTATTTATGTAAATATTTATAATTTATCATTGTAAATTTTCATTATTTATGGTTAAATAAATGGATGAATAAAAAAAAAAAAAACATAGTTGCCAACTACATCAATCTGCTGAGGCAAATCATTGTAAAGGTTGTATTTTGATTACATTCATTTAACACAGTTTCATACAGCATCAGTTTCATACAGATTATCATGATTTTGGTTCATTTAATCTGTATTTTTTTCTCAGATACATAATCATTAGTTATACATTCAATGGCTTTTTTTTTTTAAGTTTGCATTTATACAAAAAAAAAAAAGGACTGGTCTTGACTCAACAAAATTGTTTTTTTATCTGAGTTTATTATTAAGTTTTACCAGTAACTATAGTAACTATTTGATAACTTTTCCAACTCAACTTTTAACATCTTTGTTAAAATCTTTGTTTCTTCATATATAAAATTATATAACATCTTTGTTTCATCATATATAAAATCATATAACATCTTTGTTTCTTTATATATAATTAAAAATTTTTAAAAACAGCTGAACAAGGATGGATTATTTATTATGTCTTTTAAGTAAGTTTGTAAGTGCATTTAATTAGCTTCAAAAATTATTTTAATCTCAAAATATATATATATATATATATATATCAGGCTTGGTCGGGAAGCAGGTGCGATCGCACTCGATAATTGACCACGGAAATATTATTTAGTTGCGAAAAGCTGACCAGATTTTTTAGTCGTTTTGAGAACATTTCAAAAACAAACAAAAAAGCGCAATAAGATTAACTGGACCGAGGAGAGAAAGGAGTTAAAAAAAGAAAAATAGCTTTTAACGCGAAAAAACGCAAAAAGCAATTATTTTTGAAACGTCAAATATAATTGCTCTTCGTTTTTTAACTTTTTTTATAAAATAAAGCGACATTTTTTATATAAAGTAACTGTAGAAAAACAAATGTTCTTTGATTTATCAAAGAGTATATATATTTTTTATTTATATACTTATGTCTTATTTCCAGTGCTGGATTGAGGAGGTGGGGTGGGGGTAGTAGGGCTATAGCCCCGGGACTCACAATGTTAGGGGAAATAGTCAAGAGGACCATTCAGTATTTTTTTAAGCCATTTTTATGCTGTGGCATATAAAAAAGGCCGCCAAAATAATGCAGCCCTCAGCCCTGAAAAGACCAACAAGATTCAACCAGATGATTTATTTATAAATAAAAAAGTTTTTTCAATAACTGTTCTATGCTTCGTGTAGTTTGAAAAGTTTAACACATTTGAAACAATTCTTCTTAATAGATGAACAAATGAAATAGTTAAATCATTGAGTTACTGTAGAAATTCAATTAGCTAGATAGAAATTAACAAAAAACGTTAAATTACTTTGTAAGGAGGAAGCGGAACTGCTTCACAATACCGCTGATGATGTTTAGTGAGTGGGCTTCAAAATTTTAATTAGTATTTAAAACAGAAAAAAGTAACTTTAAGTATAACGAGTTTGTAAGAATGGCTGAAGCAAAAATAATTGAAGTTAGTAAACCAATTTCTAAGAACTTCAAAACTTTTCTTTCTTGGGAGAAAGAATCAGTTATCGGGTACACTGAGGAAAATGGGTTAGTGGTTAAAATTATTTGTATTAACTTTGATGATTATTAATAATTTCATTGAAAACGCAGTTATTATTGAAAGTATTTTTGTTTACAAAATCAATAGCACAAATTGCTTTAAAACGCTTACATGTGAATAAAATACACATAGATAAAATTACATAGATAAAAATGCATTACATACATAAAAATACATTACATACATAAAAAATACATCGCTTATATATAAAAAATAAGAATATACTAATAAAATCTAAAATATATTTACAAAACGTTGACAAGTTAAAAAATATAAATTTAAAACATTTATTATTGTAAACAAGTAATGTTAGTTTAAAACATTTATAGCTTTGCAGATGTGGCTCCAATAATTAAAATAATAGTTCGTTTGATAGTATACTCTTAAAATAATTTATGCTAGAAGTCTCAACAAAAACGTAACAAAATTCAAATAGTACTGTTTTTTAAAATATTTCAACAGAATACTCAGGACATTCGATTAGTTTTTTTTGATTACTCTAGAAATTTCAGTTAGTATTTTTTGAACTAATAGAATTAGTTGTTCGTAGATTTGGCGGGTTTTTTGTGTTTGCGAATATTCTTTTTTTATTTATCCGCACTTAGATGTTTGAGAACATTCAAGTTTATGTATGTTTCCATGTAAGTCTGTAAAACAAAGTGTTTCAAAATTTACGACAAAATGAACTAATTATTTTGTGAACAAACAAAGAAACATACATAAACTTAAATGTTCTCAAAACAACTAAAAAATCTGGCCGGTTTTTCGCAACAAAATATTATTTCCGTGGCCAGTTATCAAGTGCGATTGCACCCGCTTCCCGACCAAGCCTGATATATATAAATATATATTCAAAAAATTTAGGTTACTAAAAATTGAATTATACCTGACTTTTCTATTAGTTGGCCTAGTTTTTATATGACTAGTTGACTATATTTTAAGGGACTTATTTAATTTAAATATAAAACATGTTGTTAAGTCTCATTATATAAACTATTATTTGTCTTCAGTTAAAAGCACTTTGGCTGAAAATTTTGCATGTAAAAAATTTTTATGTTCTGATTTAAAGTAAAACTAACAAACTATGAAATGGCAACACATGGTAACAAACCATCAAGTAGTAACACATGGTAACAAACTGTTAAATGGTAACACATGGTAACAAACTATCAAATAGTGACACATAGTAACAAACTTTGATATAGCAACACATGGTAACAAACTATCAAACCGTAACAGTAGCACACAGTAAAAAACTATCAAATGGTATTGCATAGCAACAAACTATCAAATAAGATTAAGTATGGCAAGTATTTTTTTTTTTACATGTGTTGTTCATAAAATGTGGTCACTAAACTTTGGTCACCATTATTGATTAACAAGGTTTTACTTTTTCTGATTTAATTTTTTTCTATTTATATTACAGACTTTTTTAAAACTTGGTTAAGGCCTTTTATATACACCTGTTGATGATTTAAATAAAAAAGTTAAAGTAACAATAAATATTTTTATGTTGAAGTATAATGAATAATAACAAAGTAACTTTTCTATTTCAATCTGCAAAAGTTAAGTTTTCATAGACGCTGTAAAAAATAAATTGCTAAATATATTAAAAAAATAGGAAATTTCATATTTTAGAAATTTGTGCAAACTATCAATGTTTGCAGCAAGGGTCTCAATGTTTTGTCGATGAAGCAACAAATAAACCTCAATGCAAATGTAATGAACATTGCAACAATACACGAAGCTATGTGTGTGGAAAAGATTCATCAAAATCGGTTACTTACATTAATTTATGTCATTTGGATAAAGAAGCATGTCAAAAAGAAATTAAAATATCTGTTGAGAATCAAGGAAGATGCAAGGTTCAGCAAACATTAGGTTTTATTTTGTTGTTTTGTTGTTTTGTTGTTTTTGAATTAGCATTTTAAATGTTAAATTTCTTAGTTATAATATTTCCATGTAAATGTAAAAGTTTAGTTTTTGTTTGCTTTATCTAAAGTTTTTTCTAATAATATTTGCAGATATTCAGTTACGTCTGCCAAATGTTAAGTCAAAGTTTAATTTTTTTTGCTTTATGTAAAATATTTTCTAATAATATTCTCAGATATTCAGTTGCGTCCACCAAGTGTCAAGTCAAAGTTTATTAGAGCAGACCTCAGTGAAAATATTTTAGTGTACTGCTATGGAGACCACAAAGTTGTTCATTTGTCTTGGGTTCAAATTCGCCAAGACGTTGAAATATTAATGACTGATATATTTGTTCTTAATTTTGGGGTTTATCTAATTGACGGAAAGGAAAGAAGAGTTTCGGGTTTACAATTAAAACAAATTACATCATCAATGTATGCCAAATATGCTTGCATTCAAACTTTCAACAATACCCAGCTCAGAGATGAGGTGATTATTTTACCAAAACATCAAGGTAAGAATTTTAAAACTTACACTGGTAAAATCTGTGCAATCAGACTTTATACTTTACTGAACAATTACCAGCATACTTTATACTTTACTGAACCAGCATACTTTAAAGACACACAATTTTTTTAAACTCCTTTAATCTCGTGTACTTAAAACCAACATTTACATCCTTGTCATGGCTGATGTTATATCTTTGTTTACAAACATTCCTTATTGCGAAGGTATTGACACCGTGAAATTTTATTTAAAGAGAGCACCGCCATATAACAGACCCATAAAACTTTGCTTGTTTCTTTCAAAGACTTTGTTGTTCACCTATATTGTTTATCATTCTTGTTATTGGTTTATTTTAAACTTTGTTGTTACTTTAGAAGCATTTGATAAAAGAATGTGTGCTCTAGAGCTAAACTCTGGTTTAAATATTAATGAAGAATATTTTCCAAATTATTTTTACAATACCACAAGTGGAATCTGCAATCTTTTTTATTACACTGGGTTTGAGGGAAATGAAAACAACTTTCAAACACTTGAAGAATGTCAAACAAAATGCCAAGGTTTTAGTTTTGCTATTTCAGTCTGTTTTTTCAAGCAATATGTTTATATATATATATATATATATATATATATATATATATATATATATATATATATATATATATATATATATATATATATATATATATAATATATATATATATATATATATATATATATATATATATATATATATATATATATATATATATATATATATATATATACATATATGTATATATATATATATATGTATATATATATATATATATATGTATATATATATATATGTATATATATATATATATATATATATATATATATATATATATATATATATATATATATATATATATATATATATGTATGTATGTATAAATACACACACACACACACACACACACACACACACACACACACACACACACACACACACACACATATATATATATTTCACTTTGAGACATCGCTTAAAATTTTACTTGTAAAAAAAGTCCAGTGATGACATAGTGTTGTTACTAATGTTAAAGAAACACTGCTAAACAAATTCAACAAAGTTCCTTATTTCACAGCATTATTTGATAAATCTTATAATATTAAAAAAAAAAAAAATCAAATAGATGTTTGCTGTTTGGATGACACAGAAAACAAAGTATAAGCAACTTGTTGAAATTCTTGAATTGTCTATATTTTTGCAACATTTAAAGAACTAGTGTAGTTAGAAACCAAGTAACCAATATTTTAGTAAACTAATATCAAATAAAAAAACAAAAACAATATTTCTAAAACTTGATAAATTATAACATTTGATTTAAAAGTCTTCTTCAAGAAAGAAAATGCCAGTTTTTTTCCTTAAAAAAACAAAATATTCATAGAGAGAAATTCAAAGCTAAAAAGTTAAATTTTTGAGATGAAAATCAGCATTTGAGAAGTGTTTGATTGAGGTCAGTAATCTTAAATAATTAACTATATAGGTATACTCAGTAAGAATTTATAAACACTTTGCATTTGATTATGACTGTGACATCTATAAAAAATAACAAGTAGTTTTGACTTCAACTAGCCAAACAAACAAATATATATCAACATATATATATATATATATATATATATATATATATATATATATATATATATATATATATATATATATATATAAATATATATATATATATATATATATATATATATATATATATATATATATATATATATATATATATATATATATAAATATATATATATATATATATATATATATATATATATATATAATATATATATATATATATATATATATATATATATATATATATATATATATATATATATATATATATATATATATATATATACATATTGGGTTGGCAACTAAGTAATTGCAGATTTCACTCATAGATGGCTTTAGTTGAATTTTCAGGTTTGCTGGCGTCAAAAAAAATGTGTTGACAAATCAAATTTATCAAACCCATTTTTTTATTTGATAGTAGGTACTTCAACTGTCAATCAGCAAAAAAATTTCTTTGATCGGTTGTGTAGTTTTGTTTGGTGTCTGTTGAAAAATGGAAAATCTAGACCAACATTTTCGTCATATTTTACTTTTTTATTTCTGGAAAAGAAAAAAAACATCACAACCTCATAAAAAATTATGTGCTGTTTATGATGACAAAACTTTAAAAGAATGACAGCGTCAAAATTAGTTTGCCATTTTCGTACTGGTGATTTTTCACTCAAAGATGAAAAATGCTTGGTTGTCCAGTTAAAGTTGATGACAACCAAATCAAAGCAATAATCGATTCGGATCGTCACAGTACAACACGTGAGATAGCAGAGAAGCTTCATGTATCACATAGATGCATTGAAAATCACTTCAAACAACTTGGCTATGCAGGAAAACTTGATATATGGGTTCCTCATGAACTGAAAGAGAATCATTTAACACAGCGCATTAGCATCCACAATTTGTTAAAGAAACGTAATGAAAATGATCCATTTTTTTTAAGCCAGGTGAACCAGCTTAAACAACATCAAAAGCTGATATTTATCAGAAAAATGTTATCAGTTTGGTGGCATTACAAAGGAGTTGTCTACTTTGAAAGCTTGGTTGGGATGTTTTGCCACATCTACCATATAGTCCTGACCTTGCACTATCTGATTACTTTTTATTTCGATCTTTGCAAACTTCTTAAATGGTCAAAATTTCAATAATGATGATGATGTCAAATCATACCTGTTATTTTGTTTCTAAAATTGTCTTTTATTTTCTAAAAAAAATTCACAATTACTTAGTTACCAACCCAATATATATATATATATATATATACATATATATATATATATATATATATATATATATATATATATATATATATATATATATATATATATGTATATATATATATATATATATATATATATATATATATATATATATATATATATATATATGAAACTATTGAGAAATAAGACTAATTTTTTGTACTTATTAATAAAAACCATTTTTTTTTTAACAAATGAAATTACAATACTTGTTTCGACTATTTTATAGTCATCTTCAGTTGGATTAAAAAAACTTATTTAATTTTATATACAAATATTATAAAGTAATATTAAAAAATACAATTTATTTTTTTAATAGTTGCGACAAAATATGCAATAACAAAAAATTATACTATAAAAAAGTTATTAAATTGTTTAACAAAAAGGTTAAACAATTTAATATCTTTTTTATTGTATAATGTTTTGCTATTGCCTATTTTGTCGCAGTTAATAAAAAAATAAATTATAATTTATACTTTATTACCTTATAATATTTGTATATAAAATTAAATAAGTTTTTTTAACCCAACTGAAGATGACTATAAAATAGTCAAAACATATGTTGTAATTTTGTTTAAAAAAAAAAAAGGTTTTTATTAGTAAGCGGAACAAATTAGTCTTATTTCTTAATTGTTTTTTTATATTGTGCAGAAAAGAAATTTTGGATATATAATATATATTTTGGATATATATATATATATAAATATATATGTATATATATATATATATATATATATATATATATATTATATATATATATATATATATCATTTGATGAAGTATTAAAATAATACAAATCTCTTGTTTGTTAAAAAGTGCTCAATATTTAGGAAATTTATTTTGATTATATATAAGCTCCAAAACAGAACGGTTTATAGTTAAAAACAAAAAAGAAAAACCTTTTATTATGGAAATTCAAATTTCATGTCTAATGGCAATCATCAGCCATATATTACAAATTAAAAATTAAACTTTGAAGTTACAACTAGAATTACGGTGACGTGAGCTCTAATGACTCCATGGAAACAAAATTACAAAAGTTTTAAAAGTATAATGTGACGTAAACCAACCAGGATCAATCTTCGGTATCAAAATGGTTTGAACAAGAAGTTTCAAATTTTGATGTATAAAGGAGATGACCTACTTAATACAAGAAATAAAATAATCTCGAAGTTTAGACACAAAATTTAATTCCTTATTTCCTCATTAGATCTAGTTCGGCACATTTTTCACTAATAAATGGTTTGACTTCTAAATCTAGAACTTCAAAAGCTTCATCATTTCTCATATCTACAAACTTTTTTTTTGTAACATCAATCAACTGTTTTGCAAATAAAACATTTATATCTTCTCCTTGCAAATAGTTAGATAACACAAAAAGATAAATTAACAACTTTAGCAAAAAAAACATAAGTAAAATAAATGAATGTTTTTTTTAATTAAAACTTATAGTCAAATAGCTTCTGTTCTAACTTTTCCTGTATGTTCTTTAGATTTTCCTAGATTTATATCTTCTAGAATGGCTTGATTAGCAGAAAAAGATTCAACATTAGTATCAACTGCATGCCTCTTACTTGCTCATCTTATATCATAAAGTTGTTTCAGAGTGTCTACTATTGATTCATATAGACGTTTTTGGTGCTCTTAGAGAATATGAAGTCATGTTAAACTAGACGCAAGGTACATATACAATTTTTCAGCTGTGCCTAAAAACATCTGGACATCGCTGTTTACAGACATTGCTCTGATGGTCACCAAATTTAAAACATGAGCACAACAATGAACATAGATGGCATTTGGTAAAAGCACTTTTATTTGAGTTTGAAGACTACTTTTAATTCCAAATGGGATAAAACAATACATTTAAGCATCATTTTTGCGAATTAAAGTAAAAATGTCAATATTTTGACCTTGTAGCAGTGTTTTAGTGTGAAAAGTAAAATATAAATCAGAGATTAGGTTTATCATTTAATTTCAAAAGAAATAAAACAAATAGTAATACAAATATAAACCTATATTTTTACTACAAATATTACTCAGCTAAATAATAGTATTAACATTTTTCTTTGTAGCTTTTTTGATATCTGCTCCCGGTTTCTCTGGACTATCTAGAAATATAACTGTATTAAGTAAATATTATATATTAACCAATCATATTATTTATTGCTAATGAGTGCCAATTATATTCCGTGTATATAATAAAATACATGGAGAGTATCCTGAAGCCTATCTTCATTGTGTGTTTTCTCAACGAAATCTTGAATCAACTTGATATGTTGTTCTGCACAGTCATTTACATCTGCAAGTGTTCTTACACACTTTGAGAAGTATGTAAAAGACTGAGAGGTTTCCTCATTTTCACATGCCTCGATGCTTTTTTCTTTCCAGAGTAGAAGTTCTTTTTTGGAAATATCTAACAGCAAGAACAATAGGTAAGACTGGTCATTGACAAAATCATCTAGTTAAGACTAAATTCAGTTTTTTTTTAACCAGATTTTGCAACTCCGGGACATCATAGGAAAGTAGCTAATTTAACATATTGTTCTTTACTTTAACTTTCAGTTTCTTATCAGTAAGAGCAAAAACTACTTGTTGGGGAACAGGTACCAAGTGTGGTGGCTGAGGCTTTGGTAAAGAACCTTTCCCACAACTGCAAATTCTTTAAACTTGTCCATTGTTTGTATCTGAATAGCAATATTGA